CAGATAGATTAAGACAACCCATCCGTGGATTCTCCATCATCATGCTGAGAAAAGGCGTTCAGGTAAGACAACGCCCCTTTCTCTAAGAAGTATGTCTAGGAGAACTGTGTTAATCTTCAGTTGGATGATGCTTTAATCACAGCAGCCTCTCAAAGTTTCTTCAAAAGTGAATGAGGTTCTCTCACTTTTGATATGTGACCATATTGATTCATTTCAGTCTGTTTTGGAGCCCTTCTCAGTATTCTTCTAAAGGGTTTATGCTATCAGAGAAGGCAGGGAGCCCATTCATCTAAGGCTGGCATAAATGCATTCAGATCCTCCAGGCTAGATGGCTTCAGCAAATACTCCAGCAAACCCTGCACGGTATGGATCCAGCCTACTTGAGGAACCCTCTCACTCGGATGGGAATGGCCCACACTATTCATGTATACTGTGGGCATACTGTGGATCCTGTCAGCCAAGGAATTTCAAGCTGGCAGTCTCTAGAAAAAAAAAAGCTTCTGGCCTCTGGAACATCTTACTGCTAAGATTGGCTCCTCACTCCCCTGATGCTTTGAAAGAGCCTTAAGAACCGGCTTGCCAGATGGTTTGGGGACCCAATGGGGGAGCTGCATACTGGAGGTGATTGATTAATTAAAACCTAATCCTACTTCCCCACTCCCTGTGGGTCCAGCTCCCTGGTTTTAATGGTTTGTAATTTTCAATGATTTTATCTGCTGGGTGCCATGACTATTGATTTTAATCTCTTTTCTGCTTTAATGTTTAATGGTGTAGGCAAATAAATTTTCTAAATAAATAAATAAACCCAGCCTCACCTATGCTAAGGAAAAAGGCTAAGTGTAAAATGGAAAAACGGAAGCCTATTTCTCAGGATCTCTTTGGAAACTCGAAGACAGAACTGTTTCAGTGTAATCAGTGAAAAAAAGAGGTTGAACAAGAACATGCAAATGTGAAAATCTTCCACAAACTGATACTCTTCATCATGGATATACATCTGGTTTACGTCAGCCAACAGATGTCATTAGAACCCAGATGCAAAACTATCAAGAATCAGAGATTGGGTATAGGTAGTCCTTCATTAATTATAATAATTGGGAACAGCAAATCTGTCTGTAAGTGATACAGTCATAAAGTGACATGTAACCACACTGACTTATGACAGCAAGTGCAGCAGTTCCAGATGCCACTGTCAGGTAAATCCTGCAAGATTGCAAATCTTACAGTTATGTGATCACCATTTGCAACCTCCTGCTAGCTTCCCCACTGATTTTGCTTGTCAGAAGCTGGCAGTTCAGGTCACAAACTGTGATCACGTGACCATAGGCTGTTGTGACTGTTATAATTGTGAGCCAATTGCTGAATCATGAACATGTGTCTATAACTACATGCAACATCTACAACTAGAAGGACTAGTTGCAAGTCTTTATTTGGCATCATTGTAATTTAAATGATCACTGAAAAAGACTACCTGCAGAGAGGAGTTCCCAATCCCCAGCTCATTGGGAACTGGGGCCATGCAAGTGTCAGATGAGCATGCAAAACCATCACCACCACTACCACCATTGCACCACTGCCAATCCATAGAGCTGGAAAGGCTGGGTACTATTGCTATAGAGTCTTAGTTTCCACCATAGTTATGTCTTAATATTTTAATATAGAAATGCTGCTAAGGAATTATGGTTCTGATTAGGACAGAACATTTTGAATGGAAGAGCTACATATGAAATGTAAAAGCTATCTTGTACACTGCCCATTAGGTTCAACAGAATAATTTCAGAGAGCTATTTTTTTTCAATAAATAAAGCGGGGAACCTTTCTTAGTTGTTTCACAAAATTTATTGCAGAGTAGACAAGATAATACATTAGGACTCAGCTCTCTATCTGATAGGTTTCTTTATTCTGATGGATTTACTGTTAGGTTGTTTAACTATCAAACAGAAACTGGAAATGCAAGTGGACTGTTCTTTGCATGAATTAAAGGCAATTTTGTGGCTTACATTTTTAATTGATAGGCACATTTTAAAATGTGTGCCTTTCCAACCAAATGGATCCTAAATCCAGGAATTTTTTAAGGAAGTGCTTATATTGGCCTTATTTAGTATATGATTTTCATTGCATTTGCTAGAGGATTAGAAGATAAGCTGGGAACAATAGCCAACATTTTGGAAAACAGACTGCAAATTACAGAACTTTGTTGGAAGTCAGCATTTGTTTTTAAGACAATAAATTTCATAAATTTTAAATGTAGTGGAAATCTTCCCTTATGAATCTTGACACTATTTGGAAGGTGTGTGTGGAGTATTTCTTTTGACTTGCCTCAGATAAAACTCACCTCCTTACTCTGTAGATATTATTTTGTTTTACATGATATGTTTGATGCTTCAACAGTGACTGAAATCTGGTGTGCTCTCATTTTAGTATGAAATGTATAGAGAGTCACATGAAATGGTTTCTGGGAATTAAAAGGTGTGCCATATTTTGTTTCCCACTCAGTTGTATCATGGCAACTCTGAAATGACACTTTTGCTTTGAAAATGGCAAACAAAATAAATTTCTAAAAAAATGTAACATCTCCAGAGATTTGAAGGCAAGACTTTGGAATCTATAATGTTCATTCTTTTTCCTTTATATAGTTAAATGTGAAATGGTTTAAATTTAATACTGTTCAAATTCAGATGATCTTGTAAGGGGATGGGGGAAGCAAGATCCACTGCTTAATAGAGAAATTCCATAAAGGCAGAAAGCTATATTGCATTGATGCAGCTTCATTGGATGTTATAATATAATGTAATAAATATTGTTTAAAATTCTTTAAGGCGAATATAAAAAAGATAAATTTATTTGCCATATAAGTGTGAAGGCTTTTGTCCCTTTTCTCCTTTGTTGTTTCAATATTTATGCTACAAACCTAAGCATATAAAAATTATATTTTTATTGTCACCCCACAGAAATGCATGGTTTGGGCTATAAATATATCCAGGTAGTGACCCAAATTGGTTTAGAAACTTGATAATACAATATTGCAATGGTAGTGAGTGTATATAGCTTGTAGCTGACAGATTGCACTATGAAATCCAGATATCTGGTCTAGGGAAGATTACACTGGATAACATTTTTTTTCAAAAGTTTTGCTTCCTGAAAAACCTTTGGTATTCGTTACAGACCCCTTCAAATTTAACACAAATAATTTCAGAATAACTGTCTCATGTACAGTTGGAATCTTGAGAAATACAAAATTAACCTTTAATGAGAATAACGCATTTAATTGTATAATGTTTCTAACATGCTGCATGAGTTCGACAAGACTAAAGGTGTTTTGCTGCTTTACAATAGGGTCCAACAATATTCAGCCAGCACTGTCAGATTCCAGTTTCCCTGATACTATTCTTCCATTGTGGTCATATCCTGCTAAAATCTTTACGAGGTTTGTCACTGACTGCACCTAGATTTTTGGGGAAAAATTCCACGTGTGAATGTAGAAAATAAATCTTCAATGACACTTCAATGTACTCTATGGTATTCTATGTTGTAAGAAGTTTGTCAACCAGTGGAATTACAGGTGATTTTCTCTGACCTCACTAACAGATCTTTGAACTGCTTGTCATTGATGATGCATCTGATCTGTGGACCAACAAAAATGCTTTCCTTAATCTCGGCATCAGTTATTCCTGGAAACATCTGTCTCAAATAACCAAAACCTTCATCTTCCTGGTTCATCACTTTCACAAAATTTTTCATCAGTCTGAATGTTATGCAAAGTGCAGTCAAAACTATCTTCATTTGGTCAACAAGTGGTTCATGTGCCCTGTTTTTTTTTTTTCCCCGGAACCAAACTCTTTCAGAGAAGCCATTTCTTTTAATGTAATGTGACTCTCTTCCATTACTGTCCTATTCACATCCGTAACATCAGTACTTGGTATATCCAAGCTGCATTCCAAGCAGCAGAGCCACTACTTTTAGATCTTCACAGATATTCCACTTGCATGTGGTATACTTGATGTGCTTCAACAATAGTTCCATGTTTTCTTATGTTTCTCTCATTATGTAGGATAGCCAGATAGTACTGAAAGGTGTACATTGCCATTGTGTAAATACAGATTAGCCAAAAAAAATCTATAAAATAAACCAAAAAATATTTGGGGACCAAAATCTTTGTTGTGCAATAATTCTAAATATGTGAGAAACAGTGGAAAAGTAAAGTATAATGTGCCCAGTCTTACTAATGCCTTTCTGTATTAATTGCTTTGAGTCAATGTCCACATATAACTCTCACAATTAGAAGGGTTTAAAAAAAATACTTCATTTTGGAGGTTAAATGCTAAGTAGGTACCCAATGGTCCATAGATATCCTTGAGTTGTAAGATATTTAGAAATATAAACGTATAATTGTGATATATCCATTTGGATTTCTTAATTAAAAAATGAGCTCCTTACTGGGTTCCTCTAAATCGTGTGCCTTGTTATAAAATATGGACATTTGCTCTTGATTTCCTGCACATTGCTTCATTCTGATCTTTGGCATCTATTGGATTTAAAAGTTTGAGAAAAACCACTGCAGATTTTATCTACCAGACAGTGTAAAATTTTCCATCACTGGGAAATTGCCATAAAATAAACCTGAAGGTATGCACTCAGATAATGCTTTTGATTAGCTTTAACAAAATGAGACTTCAGAATTGAAGAATCTTTTTTGTGGTAGGTCTTTGCATGCAAAATGAAAATATCCCCCCCTCCAATATAGAAGTAACTTCCCATGTAGAAAACTGGTTCAACAAAAATCTTGTTCTTTCTTGTTAACTTTACTACTTGCAAGAGGTTTTCCCCCCTTTAACTTCAAAACATGAAACTAGGTCAGATTGTTGATTTTTTTTTTTTTTATGATCCATTTCTTAGGTGGGTGTTTTGTTTTGCTGACTGGCTTTAAAAGGTAAGGATTCATCATTGTTTTCTATTTATATTAGAAAATATAAAAGTTAAGACAAATAAATGCTGAATCATACCTTTGTTTCTGGCCTAATTCCAAGAGTTTCTGTACATCACTTTTTGCTGATTCCTCATCATTTTTCAAAGACTGATAACAAAAGAAACCAGGTATTACCAAGGAGCTCCCTTAAAATTTTCAGCACTAAAATTATTCATTGTGACTTTTTGTATTAAAGGCTATATATGAAAGGTACATTATATGACAGAAAAGAAAGTAGGAAGATACAACTTCTCTTTGCTGAGTTTTAACAGCACACTCAAACAAATTGGGTGGTTCATAAGGCATAAGCTGATTTAATATGAATCTGAACATGAAATTCATCCAAATATCAATATACACAACATAATTGTAAGCTACCCAGAATAATTGACTGAGATGGATAGCTACAGAAATTGAATAAATAAATTAGGCAAAAGTTTAATTGTTATCATCATGCTTGGGTGGGACTAATCATGGTTTCCCAGCCTAATATTATGATACACTTTTTTTCCCAGTCTAATATTATGTTGTAATTTTTACCCACATTACCAGTTTGGATTTAAGACAGAAAATAAGACCTTGGTTCTTCAACTCATATGCCTTTTTTTCTTCACAGAGCAAGCTCTTAAGAATGAAAAATGAAATAATAAAAGAGCATTTATCACAGGCTTTCTGTCTTCTCCATTTCTTTGACTTTCATTCATTGTTGAATCACAAATGGAGGAAGAGCCAGATAAGTTTTCTCTAAATGATTTATTCCCTGCTAGAAGTCTAATTGGTAGGAAGAACTGGGAATTGAGCATACTGCGTTTAAGAGTTTAAAAAATTGCTGATGGTGATCAGAAAGGAATAATAATTAGGAAAGAAAACAGAAGGATGAAAGTTCTTTTGCCTTCTAAATCGTGACACCTTCCACTGTTATTATATTGATACTCGCTTTAAAAGAATTATATAATTCTACAGAGGGGTTAAAAGGGGGAGCTGATATGAATGACTAGGCAAGCTCCCATTCAAAATTAATTTCTCCTCTGTCTCTTGTGGAGAGGGGTCTGAAGGTGGTAAGTAAGTCATGCTTGCTTGAATATGATCAGAAAAGATTTCATGCCATAAATCCATCGAAGAAGGCAGAATTACAGATCATACAGACATTTCTACTGACACTTCAGAAGAACCCCACAATAAAGAGAAAAGTCAGGAAAAGCAATTGTATCTTTGTCCACACCCCATGTCCACATTTTACCCTCATGTGAGCTGAATAAATAATGTCGCAGAGCTAATGTCAAATGCATTTTACAGCCATAGTAGAGGAGGAGGAAAGGCATAAATTCTAACCTGAAGGTTTATTTTAATTCCCTCAAGCTCCTTGGATGTCTTTGACAGCTGGCGAAGTATATTGCTTCTTTCCTTAAAGACTTCTTTAAGTTGTCTTTCCAGCTCTTCATAGCCCTGTCTAACACATTAAAAAAACAGCGGTGAGATTGTCTCAAAATAACCAAAGCAGCACAAATAGAACTGGAATTACACCTTGGTTTGATTACTGCAGTACCCAGTTCCTTTACTGAACAAAAAGAGGATTATTTGTTATTTTTAGTCCATGATCTAAACATCAACAGCCAAATCCTCATGTATTTGGATAGCAGTCTTATTATCTGTTAAGCTTTTCATCAAAAAATCTGTTATTCTAACTAGCATCTGTGAGACAATATTTTAATTCGACAAATGTTACCTTTGGGGGTGACTTTAATACTGAAAATAAAGAAATGAAGAAAAATAAATATTGGGAAAAGTATTCAGCTCAGCTGTCTTATGTACTCTTTGCCATTCAATATTACTACTCTGTTTTATATATACACATTCCCCAAGCCTATCCTTTTTCTCTATAAAAGAAATCAATAGTAAAGATACATTCAAAGTGAGGAAAATTAACATAATTCAGTTCTGAGTCTGGAGTCAATATCCACATGCAGAAGACAAAAATAGAGATGATGATGATGATAATGATGATGATGATAATGATGATGATGATGATAATTTAATAGTTTGAGGGGGAAAAGCCAACACAAAGGGAGAATGGATTGCTAAAATATCTTTTGTGCTGCAAAATTGTAAGCTATTTCCTCTGAATGTAATTGAATGATATTACTGCAATTATAAGAAAGAAATACGTTTCAAACAATGCACTCTTTTGTGGATTCCAAAGCATCAGTGATAAAATATGAAGTAACCATAAAATAGAGAAAATCTTGCATGCTGATGTAATCTGGAAAGGCAATATATTAGTCTTTCTGTCATCAGAGCTAAAGCAGACAATAAATTCTGAACTAGTGACAAGAAAAAAGAACTCATTACTTCCAATTCAAAGTTGCTTATTTATGAGTTAATATACTTAGGCAATGATGTGACCAGGTAATTTCAATCTTGTCACACTCCTACCTCTCTTAAATGGGCACAAAGCTTATTTAACTTGTAAAATATAAGAAAACTCTTGCATTATTCCATGGTTTTACAACTGCTGGTTTGTTATACTTATGTTATAACAAAACAGACAATCAATTCACCAACACTGAGTTGCATGTAAAACATTAATATTTTAAATTTCTGTAAAGCACTATAGTAGCCATAGGAATAAAACAGTGTTTACTGCTAAATGTATTTTTTTGACAATAAGAACAACTATGTTACAGAAAAGGGGTACACACAAGTTCTCTTCTAGTTTAACAAGGAGAAGGACGAGGGGGGACATGATAACAGTGTTCCAATATCTTAGGGGCTGCCACAAAGAAGAGGGAGTCAAGCTATTCTCCAAAGCACCTGAAGGCAGGACGAGAAGCAATGGATGAAAACTAACCAAACGGAGAAGCAACCTAGAACTAAGGAGAAACTTCCTGAAAGTTAGAACAATTAACCAGTGGAACAACCTGTCTCCAGAAGTGGTGAATGCTCCAACACTTGAAGTTTTTAAGAAGAAACTGGATAGCCATTTGTCCAAAATGGTATAGGGTTTCCTGCCTGAGCAGGGGGTTGGACTAGATGACCTCCAAGGTCCCTTCCAACTTTATTATTATTATTATTATGTAACATAATGAAAATCTGTGGCCATGTATATTCTTGGAAATACCCTAATGTGCAGGAAGGAGAGGCGGAGCAAAATGTTGGAAGTAATGTCAGATCTCTTGGGCCTCAGATAAGCCATGTTGAATCAGGTGCTGAAATCAGGTCTTTTGCCCAGTGACCTATCATCTGTCACTTTCCAGGTCTAGACTTTGGCTGCACCATAGAAATACCCAGCATTCATTTTGATTCCTTACTAAATTTAACATTTTAAGGATTCTTGTTAGAATATGAATGACAACAGAGTTCTGATCTGGTAACCAAAGACTTGGTTATTCAAGTGGAAGCTATATATTGGAGTAGTATAAATCAATTGTGGTTCAATTCCAATTTGAGTTTCAAGGAAGCATAAGTCAGTTTGAATTTATGATTCGAAAATCAAGAGTAAATTGATCTAATCTGAATCACTACAAGATTGGAGTTAAATTTTTTTTATCCGTATGCAGCTGTTTCATTTTTTTGCAGCACAAGGTGAAAATCACAGGGAGAATAAACTTTAAGAGAAGTTTATTGTCAAGGTCAATTCCACGTTTCCACTGAATATTTTCAAAGGAATTTTTCTGCAATATTTTTTTAGTATAGTTATTCTGCAAAGAAATAGTAAAAATGTTCTTTTTTTGTTTGCTTTCTTGGGATTTGGGAAATGATGAAAAATAACAATTGATATGTTCTTGTAGGGTGGTGTAGTTTGCTATTTTTCTGCTATATCACTGCCCTTTCTACCGTGTCAAGCAGAATTGGTATAAATAGTTGGGAAGATTGATTTCTTATGAGCAGGATGTCCTTATCGCAAATTTTAGCAGCGTGTCAACCTTAACAGATCACATGGGTAAAGCTTGACTGAAACAAGGATTTGGAAAAAAAAACAATTGTTGACTTTGCCCTTGTGGCGTATTATAGCTTTGTTGTTTCTGTTCATTGGGCTCCCGTAGATGCCAGGAAACCTGGCATAGCTGATTGGTAAGCTTGGCCTCTCCTGTAAAGGGATTTCTTTATCACTGACATGATTCAATCAGGTTTTGGACACACAGTAATATTCTGTGTTTGTTAATTAGCTCCAAAAGCAGAATCAGTCTTCCAGAGGAAGATACTATGTCATACTGCAGAAAAAGAGACCACCAGAGAAGAATTGGCATTAGCCTTGCCATCCTCTATTTTTGCTATAAACACTTAAACCAGTGCTTGTAATTGTTAGCGTAGAACCATCCACTCATTGTCTGCCCCAGTTATGAAGAATAGAGAAGTAGAGTTTGAGCCAAGAGCTCCTCTGGGCAACATTCAGAGTGCTGAGAGCTGAGTTAAATTGAGTTATCAATTGTATTTGTAGAACATGGAAGCAGCAGTGTCTATGGTATACATATCAATATGTCAAGATAGCAAAAAGGGCCATCCTCCCCATTTTCTCTCTCACATTCATACATACATGTGCACACTAGATACTGCTGCATAAAGTATAACATCCCATAACATTTACAAAAGAGCTAATAAAGATAAGGCTTATGTGGGCTACATAATAAGGAAATTGAGGGTTGAGTGGATGAAGCTGAAAGCACTATTATATTAGCATTCCCCCCCCCCATTCCAAACCTCTGGAGACAAAGCATTTCATAAGATAGTAAAATTGACCAGATATTTATCAATAATAAAGACCATCCCATCATTCAAAGTTTTCCTTGTACACTCTCAGTATATGGCAGTAGAGTTATAATATTGTGTATTGTCTTTAGCAAGCTTAGCAGTAGTAGGAAAGCCACCAGATATATGATTCATTTCAAATTTCTACAAAGATTTTCAGAGAACTCTGATTCAACATAAGAATTCCTACTCTTATTCAATCATTTGCTTTGGAATGATTCTTCCTGAGTTTTGTTGATGCAAAACATCCTTTGTAACTTTCCACAAACCTTATTTCATTTCATTATTCCATTTCTATCTTCAGATAAATGTAGCTAAAATAATACTGAATCCTTCAGCTAGCATAAAAGCAACAAGATAACTACCACCTTTAAAAAAACAAAACAAATGGTATGTGTTGGTAAACATTAAACAGCCACCAGAAAGGGATATGATTTTTCTAGAGCAAAACGTCACAGCTGGATGTATCCATCACAACACTAATTCTTGTTTATGCCTCAGAGAGCATCAGTAATAAATCATTAAAATCATTGATGCTGTGAGACTCCAAGCCATTTTCCTAGCATGTGACCCATAAAAAATGCTTATGAACGATTGTCTCAGTTTCAGTAAACACAACAAGATCTTTCTGAACTTTTCTTTTTGCACTTCTTTTTACTTGTTTCTTGGTGTAAGCACCCATACAGCACTACTGTTAAAAAACCTTTGCCCGCATTTATCAGTAATTTTAGTGTGTGTGTGTGTTTTTTAATGGATTTCAGTAGTTTTCTGCTTCTGTGATATGTCTTTTTCCTCATACTGTCCATGCAACTTGGGATTGTCTGAAAGCTTATCAGAGATTCTTCAAAGAGATCAGCTCAGCTCTCATGGATTACTTATCCATGTCATTGTTCTTAGCATGCCATGTTCAATTGCACTAGAAGTAGAAAAGTCCTATTTGTATTAAGCAGTGCATGCCTACAGTTACAATGTGTTGTAATAAATGATATTACAGCAGGAGAAGGCCAGACACAAAGGCCAGTATCATCCTTTTTCTCTCCCAAACAACAGATTAGGAAAGAGACAGATATTTCTTAACTAAACAGTGATTTTTAACTAGTACTTCTTAACTAGAACATTTGCAAAACAAGTTTTGAAATCAAGTCAAGAACTGTTGAAATTAATCTGAGAGCTTCAGGTTACTCCTAGATATAGGACCGTTTACAAGAAGTGGTAGTGGTAAAAAAAAAATAATATTCAAAATTGTGGTCACAGCTGCTGTTTTCTAACCTCATTCCTCTCTCCAATCATAAGCAGTTTGACCTATAGAGATAGTTTATGGCAATTTTGTGAAATATTCTCAGGATTTCAGAGGTGCACAATGGGTAGTCTAGAATTTGTTCTAAGTAGCAAAATTTGGAAATACTTTCAAAGATCAGAATCTTGTGGATTCTGGGGACTCTCTCCCAGTACAGAATGTGTTCCCTAATTTGGAAAACATGGTGGTGAATTGGCCACTAAGAAGCAAGGAATACAATAAATATTTGAACAAGCCAAGAAGGTTGTTAGGCAATGAAAAGATAATCAAACTATTTGTGGCACATAAAAGAGGAAGGCATTTATTCTGACATAAGTTTCATGGTTCATATCATCCAATGAATAGAAAAGAATACATATGAACTATTGATTGTGTGGATTGGAGAAATGAAAATTGAAGCTAAAATA